ATATATATATATATATATATATATATATATATCAGGCTTAGTCGGGAAGCGGGAGCGATCGCTCTCAATTGCTGACCACATAAACAATATTTAGTTGCGAAAAGCTGGCCAGATTTTTTAGTTGTTTTGAGAACATTTTAAAAAGCAAAAAAAAAAAGCGTACAAGATTAATTGGACCGATGAGAGACAATTACAAAAAAAAAAATTAGGCAAATAAAATATCTTTAAACGCGAAAAAACTTAAAGCTAAATAATTTACGAAACATTTTTTATATTTTTTTTATAAAATTAAGCGATGTTTTTTATATAAAGTTTTTTATATACATCTTACGATTGTTTAAAAAGGAAACAAATATTCTTCATTTAACAAAGTTTGTAAGTTTTAATCTTATTTAAGCTAAATTATTTTAGAAATAAAAAAGTTAATTTTTTTAATACCTATTTTATGTTTCGCGTAGTTTGAAAAGTTTAACATATTTGAAGCAAAAGTTTGCCAAAATGAGGGGGTACCGCCGCCCAAACTTTTTTTCTAGAAGAGGTCCTATATATATATATATATATATATATATATATATATATATATATATATATATATATATATATATATATATATATATATATATATATATATATATATATATATATATATATATATATATATATATATATATATATATATATATATACATGCACACATATTATATATATATATATATATATATATATATATATATATATATATATATATATATATATATATATATATATATATATATATATATATATATATATATATTATATATATATATATAGAAGCATGGTGACAAAAATTTGGCACAAAATAAATACAAGCAGTAATAGCACAACAAAAAACTTAATAAACAAAAAATTAGTACAAAATCTTAAGCAATATAATAGTTTTTTACTTTCGTGACTGAAATAATGCTTTCTCGATATTATGATGTTTTTTGTATACATGTTTGCACATGCCTTGTACAAGATTTTATCAACTTTTCTAAAACAAGAAAGGATTCCAACTGATCTTCATTTTCAGCTTCCCAATTGTTTTCATACATGTTGCATTTAAGGATTGCCCAGAAATTTTCTATTGGTCGTAATTCTGGGAAACATGCCGGATTATCAAATTTTGTTACATAACGGATATTTTTCTCATCTGGTAATTGGTCACATTTCTAGCATTATGTGAAGAGGCCAAGTCAGACCAGAATACATAATTACCATCACTGTGATGTTTGTTGATAAAAATAATCAATTGTTTGATGATGCAATCATTTTTGTACACTGTTTGGTTAATTGCCAGTCTCACAGGAACAATAAATGGTTTTGAGATTTCACGAGAGAATATGGTAATCCACACAAAAAATTTTTTTTATATTTGCTTTTGTGAATATATTTTACATTTTTTGTTGCATTTTTTGCTTCATTAAAGTAAAATCTAGCCTTAAAATTTTTATTTGTATGTATAAATGTAAAATAAGACTCATCATCAATGACAAAGTCACAGTTTCTGAATTTGCAACAAATTTTTCCTCACTTCAGTTGTAACTGCTTTAACTGTTTATCAGTGTGATCAGGGATTATTTTTTTCTTAAAATAACAAATGTTTGTTTTGTTTTTTAATGTTTTTATAATTTATTTTTACAATTTTTTAAATTCATTTGCAATTTTTCTTGTTGAAGTTCCAGACCAGTTGTTCAAAACCTTTCAGGCAATTGATGTTCGTAGCAGTCAAAATTTTTGGTTTTCTGCCCGATCCAGACTATGAGACTTATGACTCATTGTTCTTCCACTTTGCCATATAACATTCTATGGTTTTTTCAGGGTGATTTAGAGGCAACAAAATACTTTATGATGCTCTTCGTTTTAGAATTAGGATGCAAATTACAATAGTTGTACACTCGTTCAATTAATGTAGTCAGCTACATTTTTGGATAATTTTTTACTAATTAATCTAAGTAAACAAAACTTTCAGTAAAAGAAAACTAACACCTAATAAACAAAACAAATAAAAAGTAGGACTGGATAACTAAAAAATTAATAAGTTTTAACTTTTCAAAGATTGTGCCAAATTTTTGTCACCAGGGTTTATTATTTGCACATAATACTTCTTAATTTTTAAATAACATTCAAAATGATTTTAGGTTATATATAAATTTAATGTATCTCTTTATTCAACCACAGATAAAAAAAAAATTATTATCTGAGGATACTGTTTTTAATCATGTCAAAGGTATATAGTTAGTAAAAAACATATAGAAAACATGTCAAGCTTGTAAATACAACTCAACTGCACTGTTTCTCAGAATATTAATTTTTTGGAGAGTACTTAGTCCGATATATTTAAAATCAATAACAAGTTCATACTCTATTGGTGACAAGTTTATTAACATAATTTCTGCTTGTCTTTTTCCAGAAGAAAATCTCTAAAATTTTTGGTACAAGACATATTTTGCTCTTTTGATAACCAAGAATCTCACAAAGAAGACATCAAGTGCAAGGTTTCACAATATAGAAAGTAAAGAGTTTCTGAAAATGTTTAGGGATGCCAAAAAAAGACCAAGTTAAGATAAAAATAATAAAACTTTGGATCATCTTGATAGTTAAAATCATATAATATATGATTTTATTATACATTATATAGTAAGATTATAACTATTATACAACGTATAATAAAATCATATACTATATGATTAAAAAAAATAAGAACAAAAATATATATATATATATATATATATATATATATATATATATACATTAAATAAATAAAAAAATATACAAAATTTAAAAAAAAGGAATATAGGCCATAGGATAGGCCGATAAAAAAAAAAATGAAGAGTTCAAAATAGAAGTTTTGCAATTACCAAAAAATGGATGAAAGAAAAAAGTTTGAACAAGAATGCTTGTACTATCTTTTTAAAAAATTTAGTAATCATTTAAATTGTCTACTAAGCAACATGATAATTTAGATGACGTAATTTCAAATAGAACTGTTGGTCAAAATCTCTGCTATCAATGACATAATGCTAAGTATTCTAACTATGGTGGGAGAAAAACTTAATAAAAGAAAACAAGAGTAAAGACCCCTCTCCCATTAAAGAAAATTCAAGTTAGGGCTTCAAAAGATCAAAGCCATATTCAAGTTATATTTTGGAAGCTTTTCATTCAGCAATTAAATTTTTTATTTTTTAAATTTTTTGGAATTAAAATTTTTTTAAGGTAGGTAGGAAAACACTTCCTTCCACAAGTCAAAGTATACAACACGATTACATGTAAATTCTTTTAAAACATAATTTTGATTATACGTATTTAAAATTGTGTACTAACTTTACTCTTTTTTTTTTTTTTTTTTAATTATCCCAAAGGCCCGAGGGGGTCACTACAGTCGAGGAGGCTACTCACTTTTTTTTTTTTTTTTTTAAAGCGGGGTACAACCCTCTCTTAAGTCTTTAACTCCAAAACACGAATCTTGACAAGCAAGGCCGCTGCGCGGAGAAATTAAGTTGAGCGCGGTACTTCCAGGGACATGGTGGGAGTTGAACTCCAAACCTCTCGCTTACAAAGCGAGCGCTCTTACCACTACACCACTACCGCATATTTTAATAAATATACAATTAATTCCCGGTAAGTCAAACTCCAGTTAACTCGAACTTTTGTTATCTCAAACTGTTTTATTTGGTCCTTTGACATTGTCTAACTGATTAGTATTATAATTCTTCAGCTAAAAGCGGTAGTGGTGTAGCGGTTGAGCGCTTGCTTCATAAGCTTGAGGTTCCGAGTTTGATTCCCACCACGTCCCTGGTAGTACCGCGCTCAACTTGTTTCTCCACCCAGCGGCCTTCATCAAGTTTCGTGTTTCGGAGTTATAGAGTTGAGAGAGGGTTATAACCACAAGTAGCCTCCTCATCTGTAGTGGCCTTCTCGGCTTTGGGGAGGTGAATAAAATTAAAAAAAAAAAAAAATTTAAACCTTGGATAACTCAAACTTTGTTAAGTCAAACCACTTTTTTGTCATCTTTTGGCAAATTTCTTCGGATAATTCGAACTTTTTGCATGAGTAATAATGAAATCAAAATATTATTTTGATTTCATTATTACTCATGCAAAAAACTCTTAAAAAAAAATTAAATAAAGTTAAACTTGATTAAAATTTTTTTTTGAGAAGTCATTCTATATAAAATATAAATAACAGTAGCCTAATATTTTCTGACACAATTTTATTACCAAATAATAAGGAAGATATTGTATTGCATTTTTTTGTTAAACTTTTTATTAAACATTGAGTAAATAAAAATTGCCTTAACTCAAACTAATATCTTATATCCATCAAAGTTTAACTTAATGGGATTTTGCTTAAGTCGAACTTTCTTAAGTCAAACCATTCTCCTTGGTCTCTTGACCAAGGAGAATGGTTTGACTTATGAAAATTCGAGTTACCAAGAATTAACTGTAAATCCATTTATAAGGAGTAAACATTTTTGATTTGGTTTGGCACCCCTCTATTCCCCAAGATGCGTTTGGTGGGTGGAAACCAATGTAAATTTGTAGCCTGTTATACCTACTTTTTGATAATAAGTTTTATGTATTTAGGATAAGTATTGACAAAGTTATAACAATTTAAATAAAAACTAAATTTTGACCAGAGTTTCTTCAACAATTCCATATATCAAAATTTGGTACTTAAAACCACATAACTTTTTGTAGAATTTTGATAATTTTTCACCATTAAAATACTATATTAAAGCTCTTTCTGATGATGTATAATATTCAGTATTTGATCAATTTAAAATTTTCAACCCACATACCTAATATAATATAAAATGACAAATAATTTTTAATTAATTGTCATATTATATTAAATTTTAATGTTTACACACGTGTGTAAAATGTAAATAGTCAAAAATAGTTAAAATAATATTAAAGCTAAAACAGTACCTGTTAAAAATTTGTTGATGCAAGCATAATAAAAAGTATTATATTTACCTTCATCAAAAGGCAAATCACTATTAACATTAATCCATTTAAGTTTTGACAGAGATTGATTAAAAAAAGAGTAATACACTTGTCCATCATTGGCATGAATAAATAACAATACTTCATTCTGAATTGTAATAAGTGCTTTTGGATTAGAACATGTACTTAAACCAGAAGGAAGATCTAACTTTATCCTGAAAATATTTTCGAAAATTATTTACTTGTTATTTGCAATTGAATGATGAAAATATTAGTTATAAAATTATTTCATTTTTTACAGTACTTATAGAATGGCAATCAAAGGTATCAACAGAGTAAATTTAGATAGTACTTTACCTTAATTCTTTCAACGCTAGACAATATTAATTTGACAGCAAAATGTTTAGAAATTCTAAACTTTATTTAATATTTAAAATAATATTTTCAAGCATTAAACCTACGAGTTGCTAGGTAAACTTTTTTTATTACTTTTTATTTTAAACTGTGTGCCATTAACAAACACCTAATAAATTTATGTACATTTTATTGCAAATACCTTGCACATTCTAAAATATCAATTGCTTAACCTGGCAGTATTAAGCTAATAATACTTTAAAATATACAACCATTGTATTACAATGTAAAACAACAAATGATGTTTATAGTGATCAAATTTTTAAGTTTTGGTTACTCATTTTGATACGATATACCTTACCATTTAGTTGTTTCTCTGATATCATCTCTTCTTTTGATATCAGTCCAATAAAGCAAGCCACCTGAAGTATAGAATGCCCAGACTTCACTGTTCCAGTCAGTTCCGATGGAAACAACTGTTGGGCGAACTCCAGGGAACTCGTTCTCAGTATATATTATAGGTACGAGTAGTGTTAACAATATTTGTAAAAACATTTTTTCTTAAACGAAACTTTTATTTTTTGTAAAGAAGTTTGTTTTTTGTATTTATAATTCGCGTCAAAACAATAAATGACATCATTGTTTTTTTTCTTTTCCTATCAAAAATGACTATAAAATTATATTGTCTCTAAAAACTTGCCGCTTTTCTGTACTTATTTTTTTTTTGTTTTTTTTTCTCCTAGCGTCATTCTCAATTTTTTGTTTGTTTTTCGAATTCACGAATATTAACAAAAAACAAGATTTACCGTATCTCATGAGAATTTGGTTTTATTTTCAGGATTTAATCGCTCAACAACGACAAAAGAGAACTTATTTCAAAATTTTAGAACGAAATTTTTTTTTTATCTTAAATAAACACATTATATGAAAGTCCTAGAAATGAGGAATTTATTTTATAGGAGATACAAACCCCCCTCTTCCTTCCCACTCAAAATTCCTGGAAATATTCCTCTAATTAAATTCCTCTAATATAATTCGCAACGAACGCTGAAGTGAACGCACGCTTTTTCGCTGCTTAAAGAAAATAAAATAGAAAATCGTTAATAGTATTAAAGTTACTTATATCATATTAATTTATACTTATTGAACATGTCTATCACACTTGTTAAAGTTAAAAAATTGATAACGGAAATGTTTATGAAGTTTAAGATCGAGACGGAAGAAATGCTTAAGCAACAAGAAAATACTTTCATCAACATATTTAGTTCTAACACAAAAATATTAAATGATCGATTAGACAGAGGTAATGTTGCAGAATAGACACGTTAAATCATTTTATTAATTTGCTTTTTAAAATCTGCGATGGAGTTCTAATAAAAGTAAAAAGTAAGAAAAATTTAACTATTTCATTAATTTAATTAATTATAGCGTTTTTCATTTCTCTTACCAAAAGGTAAGATAAACACATTTAATATAAAAAAAAAATTTTAACATATTATATTTTTTTAACATATTCATATTTAGTAGTTACATATTTATTATTTTTTATTTAGTAGTTGTATCTATTATTTTTACTTTTAAAAATCAAATATTTTAGATGGCTTTACAACGTGTTAATCGCGGAAGACCAAGTGGTTCAACAAATATTGTTCCAGAAGTAGAAATACTAAATGAGGCAGCAATATTAACGGAAAATTGGTGTTTGTTTGAACTTGGGTCTTGTTTAGATCAACCCATATCTACACTACGATGGTTAGCTCAGAGGAAGCTTATTAAAAACAATTTTTTTTGTAATCCCTGTAATCGACATTTTACATTAAACGCTTACAAAAGAACAGTGGATGGGTACTGCTGGTACTGTAAAGAATGCAAGCGGCGTCGAAGTGTTCGCGATGGATCATTCTTTACCAGAAGTAAATTGTCATTTAAACAAATTATACTCTTTATTTATTGTTGGAGCAGGGATATGCAACTAAAAGACATACAGCATGAAGCCCGCTTGAGTAGTGTCAACCATACGCTTGTAGATTGGGGTAACTTCTGTCGAGATGTATGCGAAGTAGAGATTGAAACTAATCCTAATGTTGTTGGTGGCATAAATAACGATGGTACTGCAATTGTTGTGGAAATAGATGAATCTAAGTTTTTTCATCGCAAGTATCATCGCGGACAATGGCGCCCTGGTCATTGGGTATTCGGTGGAATAGAAAGGGGTTCAGGTAAATGTTTTTTAGTAGAAGTTCCCGATCGCACTGCAGAAACACTTCAGGATATGATTTTACGTTATATTTTACCTGGAACTCATATCGTTTCCGATGGTTGGGCTTCATATGGGGGAATTGAAAACATCCAAAACGGTATTTATTCACATGCTGTTGTTGTTCATGAACGCAATTTCGTTGATCCCCTAGATGATGAAGTTCATACCCAAAATATAGAAAATCTATGGATGCGGGTAAAACGCAAATTGCGACGACAGTTTAGGACATCAGAAGATCTATTTACATCTTATCTTCATGAGTTTATTTGGCGTCAACGTTTTAAAAATTTCCCTTTATTTTCAGCATTTATTTCTTGCATTTCACGTCAATATCCTGCTTAAACTATAACATAAACGGCTATTTTCATAGCCACATATTTTTAAAAAACACATTAGCATGAACAATAGTTCTAACAAAACTATATTTTTAATTATTGAAATAAATACAATTATTTATTTCAAATAATTGTATTTAATAGATTATTATTAAAAAAATAATTAAATAAATATTAATAAAAAATTATTAATAAAATAAAAAATTAAAAAAAAGTTTTTAAACAAAAAACTATTTTAATAACTACTTTGAAATTTATCTTTTATGATATTTATGTTCCATTTTAAAGAACATTCCATTTTATTCATTCATTCAATAGAATTTTTTAAGTATCTACGAACGAGAGCGCAAAAAGCTAAAAGAAAATTTTATTTAACGTGTCTATTCTGCAACACTACCTAGACAGAGTTGAACTTAACATACTTCAAAACTCAACTAAAATAGCATCAATTGCAAAGGAAGTGGAAGAAATCAAAGAAAGTTTAAATTTTCATGAAGATCTCTTTAATAAAAAAATAAAAACCGCCATTGATTGGCTTGGAAAAGAAAATCTGGCAAACATCAAAATACAAAATAACAACAATGAACTTATAAAAATAAATAACAAACTCAGAGAGATTGAGGATAGGTCAAGGCGTAATAATTTAAGAATCGATGGTGTCCTTGAAAATGACAATGAAAGCTGGGCTGAATGTGAAAAGAAGGTCAAAGAAATATTCAACAATATATTAGGAGTCAAAAATGTAAACATCGAAAGAGCGCATAGAATAGGCAAAGTAGTTCACAACAAACATAGAACAATAATACTAAAACTTCTTGATTTTAAAGATAAAACTGAAATTCTTAACAACTCTTCCAAATTAAAAGGTAAAACCATTTTTATATATGAAGATTACTGCAAGGAAACAAATATTATACGAAAGACACTACATGAAAAAATGAAAATAGAAAGGCAAGCTGGCAAATACGCGTATATTTCATACGACAAACTTATTGTTCGCGATTGGAATTCCAAAAAAAAGTAATATATTATCTTTTAAATTTTTATTATATTTTTACATAAACTTATTTGCTTTTATTGATTATGGCATCAGTAAACGATTTCGAAACTTTTACTTTTTTCGATAATGTTTTTTCATTGCGCGAAAACATTAACAAAGACATTAATTATTTTTATGAAATTAACAAAGAATGTGCTTATTTTACTATCCGTGCTTATTGCTATCCGTGGAAGTAGAAGGGTTTTTATTTAACAATATTAGCAATAAAAACTTATATCAAATTAGAATTCTACACGTTAATATTCGAAGCATTAATTGCAATTTTGAAAAACTTCAAAGTTTACTTAAAGAAACAAAAAACACTTTTAATATAACTTGTTTAACTGAAACTTGGGCTACTGCAAACGATTTAATTGATGACTCTAATTTTCATCTTCCTCATTTTGAAATAATCTCACTTGAAAGGCAAACTAATAAGCGCGGTGGCGGAGTTCTAATTTACGTTCATGAAAATATTAGGCATTTTTACAAAACGTTTTTAAAGAAGGAAATAATAAAAACGTTTTTAAAGAAGGAAATAATAAAAATAAAAAAAAACGTTTTTAAAGAAGGAAATAATAAAAATAAAAAAATGTCTAAGAAACAATCTTAGTATTTCTAACGGCGATGGAGAACTTTTAACCATTGAAATAATAATTGAACAAACAAAAAACATTCTTCTAAGCTGCTGTTATCGACCACCTGATGGTGTGGCCGAAAACTTGAGCATGTTTTTACTACAAAACGTTTTTAAAGAAGGAAATAATAAAAATAAAAAAATTTTTCTAATTGGAGACTTTAATATGAATTGTTTTATATCAGTAGCGGATTTAGTATAGGGCGTGGGGGAGCAAGCTGCCCCCCCACGCCCCCCTAGAACGGTCTAACGGCGCCCCCTAAAACAATTAAAATATATATATATATATATATATATATATATATAAGATTAAATTACTGAAGGCAACCCCGGTCGCCCCTATTTATTGACTTAGCCCCCCCCCCCCGCGACGCTAAACCTCAATCCGCCACTGTTTTATATATAATGATAACAACAAAGTTAGAAACTTTTATCATTCAATTTTTGAGGCTGGAGCTTTTCCATTAATAAATCGCCCGACGAGAGTGACAAAATACTCAGCAACTTTACTAGACAATATCATTACAACAGACATCTTTAATAATGATATAAAAAAAGGAATCTTAAAAACAGATATCACGGATCACTTTCCTATTTTTCTGACTATACCCACTAACCAAGCAAATGTAAAAAAACCTAACAAAATCTTAACTAAACGTATTTTTAATCAACCAAAAATTGAATTGTTTAAAAACCAACTATCGCTACTGCATTGGAAACATTTAAACTTTAATGATAACGCTAATAATCTTTTTGAAAATTTCTTTAAAACATTTTTTTCGGTTTACGATGCTAACTTTCCTAATGTTACTCATACATCAAAAACTAAAAACATAAATAATCCTTGGGTTACCAAAGGTTTCAAAAAATCATCAAAAACTAAGCAAAAAAAAAAACAAAAACTCCTACAAGCGAAAAAAAATACAAAGAATATAAAAATTTATTTGAAAAAATCCAGAAAAGTTTAAAAAAAAAACTACTTTTCAAATTCGATTAATGAAACAAAAAATAACCTAAAACGCACTTGGCAAATACTAAAAGAAATAATTGGGAAACAAAAAACATGCTCAAGTTTTTTACCACACATGCTTAAAATCGATAACAAAATTTTATACAATCCACAAATTATAGCTAATGAGTTTAATAAATATTTTGTTGAAATTGGTCCAACCCTATCAGATAAAATTCCAATTACCAAAACTTCTTTTCATGATTTTTTAGCACCTATTGATAAAGGCATTTGCTCAGATGAACTATCGTCCGAATTATCCTTTGAAGAGTTTGAAAAAGCTTTTAAAACCTTAAAAAAAATAAAGTAACTGGGCCTGATGAAATAAACGGAAATATAGTTATAGATTGCTATGAACAAATTAAAAATATTCTTTTTAAAATCTACAAAGCATCCATCCAACAAGGAATTTTCCCTGAGCGCTTAAGGTGGTACACCA